TCATTATATTTTTCATTTAGTAATCAATATACTTTCAGTCAGCATTTTCACTAAACTGCTTATAAGTCCAGAATTTTATTTAAATATACAAAAATAAGGTTAAAATAAAAGAAAAAAAGTTGTATTATATAAAAGAATATTTTTCATTTATTAATAAATTGCTTAAATAAAATTAAAAAAATTATATTAAAAATGTTTTGTAAATAATTTCATTCATTATTTTTTTTATTTTATTATAAAATTAAAATATAAACTTTTATTTTGAAATTTAATAAATAAAAATATTTAATAATTTTAAAAGATTATAATTTTACTAATTTATATATTAAAAGATTTATTTTATTGATTTTAATATAAAATTATGAAAATTACTAAATATTATTTAGACAATTATTGCCTTTATTGTCATTAGAATGGAACTTAAATAAAATTAAGAATATAAATGTAAATCTACCTAAAATGCCATTTTAATACTGTTAAAGGTAATGATCATTCAGGTAATGTTTAGCAATACCTTAAAATTATAATTCTTATTTTGAAATAATTCAAATTAATATAGAATATTAGCTAATGTATTATATAAGAAATTTTATAAAATTTTTATATTTATATATAAAGTTTATAGTTAATTCCTTTTATAGTTATTCAGAAATAGCAGTTACATTTTTTATAAGTATATTTATATTAATTTAAATTAAAGTAATATTAAAATATTAATTAAAAAATATTATAAAATTATTAGGTACAGAGTATTCAATATAAAGATAAGTATTGAATAAGTACTTGTTATTCCATAGGTATCAATGAATAACTGAAATATTCACCAATGCCTTAGGGGTTCCCAAAGGGAGGGGAGTATCGGTGTATATGGAGTATTCATTAGTTGTCTCATTGTGTATGGCATATACACCGATGGATTTTATACTTTTTTATACTTTTTTTATACCAGTAGAATAATTTACAAAAAAATCCATCGGTGTATACATAATACCGATGGGATAATTGGCTGTTATTATGCTAAGTAGTGGTACATTATAACAATTATTCAATATACACCATAATATTAAATAACAAGTTTAATAATAGTTCTATTTCTGGTAATCTTATATAATTATGATAAAATAATCAAATTTGCTTACATGTTATATAATACATTTATTTTTTAAAATATTATACTATATAAAATAAATAATTAAATTTGTTTAGTCAAAAATTCATATTCTTTTTTTAAATCCTATTCAAACAATAGGTTTTTCTAATAACTAGCATCATAAGTACATTAATTTATAAAAAAAATGGGGTTTCATAATCTAAAAAAATTTCCTTTTATAAATTTATATGTAATGAACTATGATAATTTCCAGTGTAATATTTTAATATTAATTAAAAATTTTTGAAATGGAATTCTAAATATAATAAAAAAAATACAATTTGAAAATAGTTTATTCAACGTAAAATATTTAAATTTAAAATTAGTATTTTAAACTTAATGTTATCAAGAAACTGCTACTTTTAGGAAAGAAAAGAGAAAATACTACTTAGAAAAATAAATACAGTAACTAAAATTGTTATTCAATATTTAATATCGGAAAAAAGAAATAAAAATTATATGTTGAAATAAAGCAGATCCCGCCAACTTAGCTGCATTTTAGTACATAATCATCACATATCTAACCGAGAGTTTATTTATATATAAAACAGGTAGACAAGCTGAGAATCACTTTGAATTAGAGGCTGCAGAACATATAAAACTCAAGTCCGGGCTGAATCTCTTATCTCTTTGAATCATTTTAAGAAAAGAGCATGTTACATCCAATACTTATAGTTCTTTGAATGAGATTACCATAAAAATACTGTTATTTAAAAGATGAAAGTTTTAAAAAATGGATTATAATATTTTTTTTTTATTTTTTTTTCATAAAAGAATAATTGAAGGTATAAGAATAATCGGAGCCGTATACATGTGGCCGAAACTCCTGAGGACTACAATATCTAATGTAATAATATACTAAAATTTGGCCGAAATTCTGGAGAAACTATTTTATAGCTTTGGCAAATCCAGAGTTTGCTTAAATTAAATTTGAAAAATTGGCCGAAACTCACATGAAAAGGTTTCGGTCACAAGTATAATTGAAGGTGATTTACTGTATCTAACTGACCGGTTATTTTATTTAGTGCTCCTAGATTTTACACTTAGATTTTACACATAGAATGATTAATTTCAAGACATTTAATCTTCTGCCTTAACGTCAATTCATCATCAAGTACGAAACATATCATCTCAATTGGATAATCAACAAAATGCGAATAATTTTCAAACTTCAAATATATGAAAAAGAAATTCATAGAAACTTTTTAGAAAATTTCTTTAAATAATTTAAAATAATTTTAAATAATCAAATATCAAAAAAAATCAACCAATCAAATCATTTAAATCGGTTGTGTAGCAAGAAAAAAAAAATATTTATTATTTGTACGAAATCTTATCTTTTAACTTTAACCAAATTTGTTTATATTTCCCCTTAATTATTTTAATTAACTTTTTTTTTTTTAAAAGAAACTCGCGCGATAAAATTATTCACGCAGGGGATAAGTTTGTGAGACTGAAAGAAATTTAATTTACAAAACATTTAATAACCATGATCTCTTTTTAAAAAAAACATTGTCGGAGTAACTCCATAACTCCGCAATATCATATAGGTTAAATTCCCATTGGTTTAAAATATTGAATATTTGATATAAAAAGATATATTTAAAATTTTAAAATTCCATTTTTATGATTTCACACATGTATTTATTTGTGATGATACCTCAATGACGGCTTAATTAGTGAAGTCGGCATATTTCATTCTGGTTTTTTTTTTCTTTAACTATAGTTCAAACTTTTACCATTAATTGATTGTATTTTGTTTTTTTTTTTTTTTTTTTTTTTTTTAGTTAAAAAACTTAAGATCCGATATCGTGTATTTTTTTTTTCAAAAATCTAAGTTTTACAAACATACATAATGAAATTTTATCGAATTTTTTTTCATCTCGATAAAATAAATAAATAAACATAAGATGAAAAGGACCCTTAGGACCCTTGGTAACTGACAGGATGTACAGAAATTATTTAATTTAAATTACAAATAAATAAATATTAAATAAGCTGTGCACAAAATTTCCGGTTTTTTCCGAAAAAAAAATATATATATATGTACTTTATTTTTATAAGTATTTTTATTTATTATATATGTATATATATTATATATAAAATATGTATAATTATGTATGGTAAAAAAAAAAAAAAAAAAAAAAAAATNATATACTCAAAATTTATAAATCTACTTACCGGTTGTAATAGGAGATTTAGTGGTAGTAGGAGATTTATTTATATCTTTGGAGAAAAAAAGAAAAAAAAGTCAATACCTAAAAGGAGCATTTATTGATGAAATTCTTGATTTTAATTTCCTATATAGATCGGGAAATTTTTATCTACATGTGTATTAACACATGAAACATGAATAAGATGCGGTTCTAAAAACATTTTTTTGCGATCTAGAATTATTAAGTCTAGGATACAAATAATTAAATAATTTCATTTTTCGGGAGTTACACAGTGTTTTAGCCTCGCGTCTATAGTTAAGGCGTGTTACGTAATCAATTCGTGTAACAAACGTCTCCGTTATTTAGAACGCGCTAATTTGTCCAATTTCGCGTTTTGTGTATAATGGGTAGATTTCTTAGCTTATAAAGTTAATACGAAATTTATTTTTCTATGACATCCAATCAACGCATGAGAAATGAGGTTCAAAATTCCCACGCGATACGTCATAAATAAAAATTAAATATAGTTAAACTGAAAAAAAAAAAAAATATGTACTTCATCATTTAAACAATAAACAAACCAGTCTAATACCTGAATTTGTAATACGATCTTTAAAAAGTTAAAGAAAAAATTGGTGTTCAATAAATTGCATGCATCAATTAAAAGGAAGAAGGAAGAAAGGATTTAAAGACATTACAGTTTAAACTTAAATCAATATCAATTGTTTTCATATGATAATATAAATAATTATAAAAAAAATCTATAAATTTAAGATGAATTCCTTTAAAAAAAAAAAAATAAAAAAAAAGATTTTTAAAAGATGTGATACAAACTTTAAAACGCGCTAATATTTCAATATTTCGCATAAATTCTAAAGATAATTTATTCTTATTAGGAAGTAAACATATAAACAATATGATATGTTTTTTAATAAACCTGATTTTTATTATATCACATTCATTGTTCTAACTTTAACTTTAAAAAAAAAATTTTTTTTATTTATGTTAATTCAAAATTAATTCATCAGTTTTAAATGAATGAGAAAAGTCAATCCTAAATAAGTAAATAAGTAAAAAATATCGGAACTTTATCTTTTTTCTTATTCATTGTCTGGTAAATAAATTATCGTATGATTTTTTACATTTCAAGTAGGACAAACAATTACTATATATGTTATATATAATTAATTACTAATTACTTTTACCGCCACAGAAATTCCTCTAGGTATGACAATGCCACCCGGTCACGATGGTATCAAGGGTCTCGACCGGTGAAAACAAAAGAAAATTTATTTTATCTTGTTAACATTCTTCCCCAATGAGAATTAAGGCTTACTTTTGAAAATCACACGATATTAAAAGATAATATTTATTGTTTATTTTTTTCGATACCTTTATTAAGAAAGAACGAAATAGATCTCATAAAAAATTTTAATATAAATGAGCTTAAGTTTTGTAAATTACATAATTTTTGTTAAAAAAAAAACCACTACTAAGAAACCTAAGATTAATAATTAAGCTTAAAAAAAAAAATATGTATAATGTACATAATGTACATATATATGTATAAAATAAAATTAAGTGAATTCAATTCACTTCAAATTATCGATCCCCTCTTATGTTTCAAACAATTATGTTTAACATAAATGTCACGAACTATGTGACATACTATCTTATAAGTCATATCATCATATTTCTAAAAAAAAAAAAAATAGTTCATAAATAATTATTCGTAACTCGTTTCCCTTTTTTCATAATTCCCTTTTATATTAATTTGTTCTATATGTATATAATAAATAAATAAATAAATAATTTATTCCTTTCACTTTTTTTTTAAAAAAAAACGAATCGAATTTAAAAAATATATGCGACTTGGTTGTGGTAATCTTCGATATATGGAGATTGATATGCACCATATAAATTGCAATTGTTAAAATTATAAGAATTCGTATCAACCAGGGGTATGGCGTAATTTGAATGGAATTCAGGACTTGAAATAGGAGTTTCAGAATCGGAAATTGTTGGACTTTTTCCACTATTCGATACCGGTGATGTTAATGTGGCAAAAGCAGAGTTATCGGTGTTAATCATTTGCTGTGAAGAACGTAGGATCACTCCTTGCATCCCTTGCATAACTTCTGGTGAGTTAGATGATACATTTTTAATTCTTTGTGAAGGAGTCGATGGAGTTGTATGAGGTGGTGTCAATATAAGCATTGTTCCATTATTATCATCATTTGAATTATTTACTGAGTTAATCGTAGTAATTCCTGACTCATCATTTTTAATTCTCGACTGTTTATTTTTTATTTGTAGCCAGCGAGTACGGCATTGTCTCTATAAAAATAGAAATATATATATATATATATTTTTTTTTAAAAAAAAAAAATCGATTTTATTTTTAAAATTAATTAATTAAAAAATAATTAATTACCTGAGTTCTTCCATCAATCATTTCTGCGATACGAATCCAACAACGTCCAAACATTCTAACACCTTCTTTCAAAATTTCATCTTCACTAGGTGACCATTTTCCTTTTCTTATACGAGGATCCAAAGCCTCAGTCCAACGGGCTTGACATTGAGCACCGGTTCTTTGAGGAATCCTTTTTGAAACTTTATTCCATGGAATCGGTTGTGGATTTCCTTGAGAATCAACTGAATTGATATAATGACTAACAGCTTCTTTAAGAGCGTTATCTTCCTGAGAAGTCCATCGACCTTTAAGAATAGAGGGATTTAATGCACCAACCCATCTAGCAGAACATTGCATAGGAGTTCTATTTGGTACATGAGTTGCGATCAAAGACCACTTATGAGGGCCATACATACGTACAGCAGACCGCAGCAACTCATCTTCTTGTTCTGTCCATTTGGTATAAACTGGTGGTTTTTGATTTACCAAATTGGAAACGGCTGATTGGGTTGATGAAGAGGAAATGTTTTGGGGTTGTTGATGTAAATCGGATGATGATACGAAATCCTAAATTAGGAAAAATATTATTTTTAGTGATTTATAATGGATATGCAAGATTACGTAGTTATATACACGTAATCAGTATATTAAGAAAAAAATAAAATAAAATAACTAAATAAATACATGTTCAATCGCGTAATTAATATTATTAGAAAGATCGTCATAAGGCATGTGTTGAATAGAATATTTTTGTTCCGGTTCCTTTGGAACAGATAACTGAGCGAGTGCCATAGCCTGGTTCTGAGCTAATTGACGATGATATGATGCATTTCTCTCATCGTTATGGGGCTGAAAAGTTGGCGTGAGAAAAAAAAAAAATGTTAGGACATATACATATAAATATTTATTTATTTTAAACTTGAATTAATACAGGTAAACATATAAAGCAAAAATGTAGCAAAAATGTAACAAAAATGAATGAAAAAGTAAAAAAAAAGGACCACCAAGAAGGAGGTATTTTATTTTTGTCATACATGAATGTAAGCAAAGTTTTGAAGTGTAAAACGTGGATACCTGCAAATTGTTTTGACTGACATCATGAGTAGTTGCTTGGTTAAGCTATTATAAGAAAAATTAGTTAAAAATATTATTTCTAAAAAAAAAAAAAAAAATTATTTATTTTTTCTTAAAAAAATACCATAGTGTAAGTATTCGGTCCTACATTATTCTGCTGATTTTGTTGGTTCACTTGCATGTTATAATGAGAGCCAATTAAAGGACCAGAATTGGATTGATATAACTAATTGATAAGAATGATAAGATGATGTTATCATGCATTCTTATATAATAAAAATCCTTAAGAGGTTTAGATTAGGAATTACAAAGAAAAAAAAAAGTTTCTTACCATATCGTTCGAAAATGTTGTTGTCTTTTAATATATATAAAAAAATAAAAGGAAAAAATAAAAAGAAATAAGAAATAAGTTTATAATTAATTAATTAATTAATTAATAAATACTAATTAATAACTAATTGAATGATGTTTTTTAAATCAGAATATATCCTAATCAACTGATAGATAAAAAAGTTAAGTTCAAAATAATTCACCTGCATATTCGTATTGTGCTGTTATTTTTTTTTTTTTTTTAAAAAAAAGCAAAGAATTTTTAAAGAAAATAAAATTTTAATTAATAAATAAATAAATAAATAAATACAAAACTTTTTTTAAAAAAAATCACATACATTCATAGAACGATTTACAGCAGTAATATTATTATTACTATCAAAAAAGTAAGGAATATGGATCATGATAAGTTTACAACTCACAATCGTAGAGAGGGAAGGTTATTATAAGCTTAAAGTAAAATGATTGCAACCTCAAAAAAGTCTTGAAGTTAAAAATTTAAGGATATTTAAAAGTTTTTTTTTTTTGGATAACTCCAAATATATATATATATATATATACATAATATATATAACACAAGTCCTTAGTTCATTTTGTAATGTCACACTTATGTAGTAAATCAACATTACGTTATTGTTTCTATTATTAACTATGCACGTGGATCATTCTTCTAATTATCACATACACGTAACCCAAAAGCGAAAGATTAACTTTAAAAGATCAATAATTTCACAAATTATAAATGGTTAATGGAAAATTTACTTGTTTACCATAATTTGTGCATACCTGGAATACTGATAAATTCCTGAAACGGGGATTAAAATTTAAATTCACTAAATTTATATCAAATTTATACTGTTTTATGCTATTTTGTATTATTTTTGTACTATGTCATATTGACTTTTAACTTTATTTATCTCATAATTTAAAAAATTTGACCTTCCTTTTTAACAAATAAAAAATTTGATTTTTTATTGCGCACGGTTTTTTGAAAAATATTTACATTAATTAATTTTTTTTTTTTTTAATAGTCACAAGAGGCTTAAAATGGTTATTACATAATTCGATCCTAGAGGTCCTGTGTAAAGTGTGATGTCATTTAGAATAAAACCTTGCATGACTTCATCTTGCAGAAAAAAGATATTCTGATAAACAAAAATGTCCCTAAATTAAACTTTGAGATTTCAAATTATTGAAAATTTATGCAGATCGTGAATTAAATAACGTCAGACTGATATTTTTTTTTTTCTTTTTTCTGCATATTATAGTTGGATTTTCTGGTAGGCCAAAATTTATTTCTTTAATTTCTTTATCAAAACAGAAATCATTACGAATTTATATAAGTTACTATGGCTTTGAACAAACAAACTACTTAATATAAACAAAAAAAATTTTTGATGTTTGATCGACAAAACAATTATATCTGTTCCCGTTCCAGTTTGCGTCAAAATATTTATGATCAGATGACCTTCCTTAACCAATCATTTGTTCCTTTCCATTTAATGATTGGAAGGAATTACTTGCAGACTAATCTCAAAAAAAAATTAATCGGATGAAATGGAATAAAAGAAGTTTTTTTTTCAAAATGCCGATAAAATGACATCATGCACTGCGCCATTTCCTTTAAAAGAACCAATCTTAAACATAAATTTATATTAAATAATTTATATTCTTTTCTTTTTTGAACTCATTCATGTAAATTTAATTGTTTCAAGATTATCTGCTTTTTTGTTACGATTAAAAATTGGGCGATAAAAATTTAAATTTGGGTTGTTTTTTTTTTTAAAAAAAAACAAATGTAAAAATATTTTTTTTTTTTAAAAAAAAAAAAAANGTAGAATATGTAATGCAAGGATTTTATAAGTTTTGATTTGGTTTGAATAAAAAAAAAAAAAATTCCCCACAAAGGTTTTTTTTTTTTTTTTTTTTTTTTTTTTTTTTTATTTTGGTGAACAAAATAATAATAATAATAATAATAAAATTCAAATTAATAATAATAATAATAATAAAAAAAATAATATATTTATATAAATATATAATACATATATGTTTATCATATATATACATACTACATATAAATTTTTCATTTTCCTTGTATTCCAAGAATATATTTCGTCTCACCTCATTCACTGACCTTTCATTCATTTTATTTGTCTAATTTGAAATTTTTCATAATTTACAGTACATTTATTGATGTGCATTATTATTCAAAACAAAATTTAACTTCCATTTCATGCTCCAATGCAAGTTTTTTGTAATCCCTTCTCTCAATTATCACACAATAATATTTTTTTTATTTAAAAGCCTATTTGGGTTGATGTATGCATATTTAAAATATTTAAATGCATTTTTTTTTCCGATTTTTTCTGACTTGTTGACCAGCATTTACATCATATCTGATAATACTCGTGTAAACAAAAAAGATTATAACACTATCTTGCATAAATCATCTCTTTTTGTGATTTTTGTGATTTGTTTTTCCTATAAATATTTGCAATTTGACAAAATCCAAAAAAGAATTCACGTGACATTGAATTAAAAATTCAAAATATCAATAGATTTTTTTTTTAGCCTTTATTTCTTAATATAATACATACATACATACATATAAATATTTTGTAAATCAGAGATTTACATTTTACAATAGTGAAAGAAAATGAAAAAAAAAATCCTGGAATACGTATCACAATTAGGCAGATCTCTTTAACATTATTAAAAAAAAAAAAAAAATAGACGGAGAATAAGAATTATATAATAATAATTTATAGTTATAGAAACATTTGAATAAAATAAAAAATGTTGTTACTATTTATAAATTATGATACAATTCTTTCTTTCTTAAGATTTATCTCGAGGTTTAGCAATAATTTCCTCTTCGGTTTTAATCTTAACTTCTTGTTTAATATGGTCAATAATTTCGATATCATCATAAGACATAGATAAAGTTTTAATTGATTCATTTTGAAGATCTTTTATAGATAATGGATCTGGCTCTCGTTCGGCTTTAACCTTTGAAAAGTAAGATATTGTGATCATTTTTTTTAATAAATTGAATATGGAAAATTTTTTAAAATATGGAAACTTTTTAAAAGTCAAGTTAAAATATTTACCACAGCTTCACTATCCGATGCCAACAATTCGCTCCAACCCGGTGCAGATTTTAGAAAATGTTTGACTTTTCCTAACATGGAAAAAAGAGGACAAAATCAGTGTTGATGTATAATACCATTATTCAAAATTTTGGGTTTCTTTCTTTATTTACCTTGGAGAAGTCTTTCCTTTTCACGGGCAATAACGAAAGGATCATTATCAGCAACATGACTGAAATAAAAAAAATAAATTTTTCAATGTTTAGTTATTAATTTTATTTACAGTCAGAAGTCAGAACTTGATATAACGATCAAAATTTATAAGTTTGATACATCAATTTTTATATGTTCATAAATATTAAAATTCGCTTTATCATGAAATTCGTCATTATATCGAGTTCTGACTGTAGAATTAATATTATTGAAAAGATAGTGTTTACCTTCCAAGTGGTGTATACCACCTTCTTTTAATGATAGGATTCGTTAATAAATGACGAGGCAAAATCATCTTTTATAAAAAAACTTGGGATAAATTTTTTTTTTTAAAAGAGAGAAAGAAGAGAGTTTATTAAATAACATGAGAAATTTTTAAATTGATTATATCTAACAATACGTAATAACTTGCTAAAACGCGCATAGCGCGACTTTAATTTCGAACTTTATAGTTAATCTAACTTGAAACTATTTCGCACGCCTATTAATATATGATTAATTATCACTAGATGTGTAATGGTTGTGATGAAAGTGATGTCAATGTCAAACATAGATGAAACTAAATGTAGCTAGTATTTTTTTTTTTCGACCATCTTCTTAATAAATAAAATTTATAGAAAAGAAATTTTATTATTTTCTTTTGAAATGTTTGGTTGTATCGTAGCCGGAAGACTGGTAAATTTAAAATTATTCTTCTTTAAACAGATAAAAAATTTCAACGAGGTTTTTTTTTTATAGATTCAAACTAATCTTCAACAAGTTGACGTAAATAAATATACTTTTGAACTTCCCGATGCAGCAACAATAAATCATATTGTGGTTTTTTTACTTGGAACTATTCCTTTTGATCCAGGTTATGCAGCAACTGTTCATTTTTTATGGCCAGGAAATGAAAATGGTTGGAAATTATTGGGCATGTAAGTTATTTTTCAATAATCAATGAAAAGATGTTGTTAGTTAAAAGAAAAAAATATATATATATTTTTTTTAGGGTTTCAAATGAAAAACCGAGCGCAATTTTTCGTCTTCGTGGATCAACTATTCCATCAATAAGTGGATCGAATGCATTTAGTACAAGATTATTAACAAGTAATTCCGTTCAATTTGGAGCAAATATTTCTACAATAACTGCCACGTTGGGAATTTCAATTGAACCAATTAATGTAGTTGAGCAACAAATTTCATCCTTACCACAACATACTAATGCGTCAATTCCAGATCAAACTGCTCAGATTTCTGCTAATATTCTTAAAAATCTTTATAATTATGTTACATCTTTTGCTACTTCAATAATCCCTTTTGATTCACAAAAGATTGGTATAGGAAATTCATATATATCAACGAAAATTTTTCAAGATTGGTACGACGGATTTATGAGAAAAGTTATGATGGACCCAAATATTGTATTAAAAAATGAACCCAACATTATTTAATAAAAATCCTTTTTTTTATTTTTTTATTGCTATAACATACCAATTATCCTTATTATAATCTGATCTAATTATTTTTGCTAAACCCGTATTTAAGACAAGTTCATCTAATTCACCTTTTTTAAATAAATGATAATATCTTTTATATACAATTTCTTCTCGTTTTTCATTTTTATCAGCAGGAATAACCCAAGGAACAAATACATCTTGATAATTTTCATCAAATTTTCTACGTGATTCAGTTTGTTCCATGGCCCAAACGTATATTAACACTTTTGATCCTGGTTTTGCAATTCGAAATAATTCCTATATTGAGAGTAAAATGTATAAACTACAAGAATTACAAAAAAGAATTACAAAAGAATTACACGAATTATAGGAATCAAACCTTTATTGCTGTAATTCTTCTTTCTGGAGTTGTAAAATGATGAATTACAGCTATTGAAGTAACGAAATCCTTAAAAAAAGATTTTATCAAGTTAATGAAATAAATGAGAATATAATATAGTCTTTCGGTTCGAACATTAGGACTAATGCAATTAAAAACGTTAAATATTAAAAAATATTTATTTATATAATAATAGCATTAGTCCTAATTCGATTATAACAATAACTTTTTTGTTTAAAGGATACAAAGCATTCATTCCGATAAGGTAATTTTAATGCGTCACATATTAGACTTTCAAATCCCCTTGAAGCACTTATCTCAATTAGATTTGAACTTCTATCAGCACCGATTATATAAATATTTCGATTAACATCTAAATATTTTCCATTACCACATCCAACATCAATTCCAATACTTCCAATTTCTAATTCTTTAAAAAATTCTTCAACAACAGGCCATGGTTTATATCTGGTACTACTAAAATGTTGAGCTATTTTTTCATATACGTCATGTACATATTGTTGTTCTTCTGTAATTGGATTTAAAGATTTTTTATTTTCGTACAAAAACGCTTGAGTTGGAGTTGATTTTTTACTTGACATTTTATTATTTTTTTTTTTTTAGAAATTTTTTTTTAGATTTTTATTAAATTTTTAGAAAATCGGATTTGATTGGATAATGAATAACAATCCTATGTTTCAAATATTACAAAATATTACGTAATTTATTACCAACACATTTTTTAAATTTTATTAATTTTTTTTACACAAATAAACGCCAATCGAGTTATTAGACTGGATTTTTTTTTTTAAGGAATAAAAGAATTTCGGAATCTTTTTTGTTTTTCTCTTTAGAATTTTACATTCAGAATAAAAGAATTCAATGATTGTTAATTTCGGATACTTGTTGAATGGCATCATTTCGTTTCACATCGTCCACAACAATTATCGATAAATCATTTTCTTCATTATTATTATTATTTATGGTAGATTGTTTTCTTGAATGATACCAATTTAAAAAGTAATACAAGAATACTATTAAACCATCTAATGTAAATACTGATATGTAAGTAAATGATGCTAATGTATCAAAAGGTGGTGGTCTGAAAACTAACGGAGATTTAATAGATTTAATGAGTTTACACTATTTACAGTAAAGTGAAAGATAATATAGAGTTTTTATAGAAGAATAAAACTTACCCAAACTTAGAACAGAAAAAAAGGCTCCTAACATATCAAATGCCATAAATATCATTGAAATACCAATTACACGTTTTAACTCTATATATTTATTATTATGATTAATAAAAGTAAATTAATAAAAAAAGTAATATTAAAAAAAAAGAATATTCTTACGATATATTTTTATAAACTGCGGTACGAGACCAATAACTAATAAGACTGCTGGTATAATCCCGCTGACCATTTCAGGCCAATTAACGTTTCTCATATTCGCGTACTATACGTAATAATAAAATATTAGATAAATTAGATTTAAAAAATTAAAGGATATTATAATGATTTTTTTACTTACTCTAATTCCATAAACACTTCCAACCTCAATTCCAGTAAGTAATATAGTCAATATTACGAATAAAACACCACTTTTTATTTTACTACCTTCGAACATAGACGGACAATAATAAAAACATTGTACATAAATGAATAAAGCAATTATACCAAAGATTTGTGGTTGAATCAATAAAGGAATTGATAAATCCAGAACTATTGCGTAAATTCCAAAAAAAATACTAGAAGTCGTCTAAATTAGGAGATATTTAATAATTACCGTGAGAATTCAAATGTATGCACAATTTTTTGTATAAATAAAATAATTACCCATAAGAGGAACATTGCTTGAGAAAGGCCTATAAAATTTTGGTAAGTATGATTTATGACTTAATTTTTGGTGATAATTATTATTAAACTTACCCTTGGTGGATTTTCCCCGCCAATTTTTATATGCTGAATCACATGATTAAATGAATCCAAAAAGAAGGTTTAAAATTTGAACCAAAGTATCGATAAGAAGAAATTGATTATTATTCATTTTACCTTGTGGAACCAATTGAAATGACCAAAAAGCCGTTCCTATGAGACCAAATACATTTTCTAAAACAACATAATGACTTGGAATTGTGCTTTCACCTTTCATTTTATTTTTTTTTAAAAAAAAAAAATTCGAAAGAAAATTATTTTTTTCTAAAAGTTTTTCATAGAATCGATCATTCATTTTTATAAGCCTTTTTGGTTTATTTTAAAATTAATCTGTTTAAACTTTTTTTCTTATTTGATCTTTGGATCTGAATTATTAGGGGTGTAATACAACTTGTACTAATCTTATAAATGATCTATGCCCAATGGCTTGATTAACGCACCATTAGTTTGCAATTTTTTTATTTGTTTATTCAAAAATTTTTCCACTAAAAAAATAAATAAATAAAATAATACGTAGTTTTTTTTTCAAAATCATGAATTTGTAACAAAAAAATAATAAACAAACCTTAACAACAAAATGATAAGAGATTAAATATTGTTCAATAATAAAGTGATCAACGCCTTCATGGTGACTCAAACCGGGCGTTCGGAGATTTTACGCGTTCAAATCATCTATCATTTTATTCCAGAAATGTGGTTTTATTCGTATATTAAAAAACTGGTTTCTGCCACATATATTATTAATTACTAATTTTTTTTTTTAAAAAAAAAAAAATCTTTTTTCACTTAACCCATTTCAGATTTCTTTTATCACTCACAATTTTCTTTTTTTTTTTCAATTGTTTGACAATTTTTTTTTTATATAAATGTTAAAGATACGCATAATTTACTAAAGATTATTAACGATATACACAGTAAAATTCGATATAGTGGAACCATCCGTTCCATTAGTAAAATTTGTCAAAAATCCGTTATATCGAGAAATCCCGTCATATCGAGGGTAAATTAATTATAGATTATTGATAATCCGTTCCAGACTCCAATTCCGATATATCAAAATGTTCCGTTATATCAAGGTTTGGGTATATCGAATTTCACTGTAATTTCATATTCGATATACCGATATAATTTATATTCAATATACAATATTGCATATAACTCTAAATATATAAAATACTGGATCATTATAACCTCCATATTAAAAATAACCTCCATATTTGAAATAACCTTCATATTTGAAATGACCTCCATATTTGAAATAACCTCCAATACGATCCCACCTTTTGTAATATAATCATATGAAACGTACAATGATTAATTTCACGTGATCACGCGTTAAAAAAAGTCACGTGTAGAATCGGTTCGTGTAACGTCATTAAATAGAATATAAAAGCGCTTATAAGATCTATTGATTATTCCACCTTTGTTAAAAAATATTTTACTTCTAATTCTTTTTTTTAAAAGAAAAAATATGGCACCAATATTACCTGTTGATTGTTTTGAGGAAATATTTCGCTTTTTGCAGGAAGATAAAACGTCTTTGCATTCTTGCATTCTCGTCAATCGTCTTTGGTGTGAAAATACTGCCCCTTTTTTATGGCGACAACCTTTTTTTTTCATTGGTACAACTCCATCAGAAAAATTAATACGGACATATATTTCATGTCTTAATGAAAAGGATAGAAATCTATTAATATCAAATGGGATTAAATTACCAAAATTATTATTACCTCCTACTTTTAATTATGTAAAATTTTTACGTCATTTTAATCTAGAAAGACTTCAAAAATCTATACCAAGGTGGATTAAAGTGAATCAACAAACAATTGAAGAAGGAACTCAAGATATGCTTCTTTATGTACTTCTTAGATTCATCACAAGATGTTGTCCAACTCTTGAATCTGTATATCTTGTGTTAAATTCTCGACCAATAAGATTATTTTCTACTGATAAAATTGGAGATTCTATACTTATTCAATCTAAATTTGATGATTGGCCTAATAAGTTTACAAGTATTAAAAATCTTTCAATAGATTTTACTGATTGGATAATTTATAAATCTTATAATTTTAATGAAGATAATGAAATTCATAATATTGCAAAGTTAATAAAATCTCAAGATATTCTTCAACATATTAAACTTATAGGAAATTATCAAGTTTGTCCAAAAATTATTATTTCATCTTTGGGTGATACTTTAATAGAGGTCGAATTTTATAATTTGAATTTTGAAGGTGATACTTCAAATTTATTAGAATGTTGTAAAAATTTACAAGTCTTAATTTTTGATGGATGTTATTTTCCAAAGGAATCAAAAAAACAACCTTTAAGTAGTGCTTTACTTCCTCAATTAAGAAAATTACATATAATTGAAACAGATTTTAAATTTAATGATGATGTTCTGATTTCATTAATTCGAAATGCGAATTCTAACTTACAAGAATTTTATATTACTCGTCATGTATATCATCGTAATTTTGGGAGTTTACAAAAGATTAATTCTGCTTTGGCAAAGTATTGTTCAAATATGATCTCTCTTAATATGCCATTTTATTCTAATGAATTGACTTACATTTCAACATTTATTAAAGCTTTCACAAAGCTTAGAAGTTTATCAATTGGTAGTCGATGGTTTGATGAGACTCCGATCAATTATCGTTCATTTGAATTTGGACGTTCATTACCAACAACTTTACAATGTTTTGAAATTAATATGCCATGTTCTTTTACTGCTGAATCATTTGAGATGTTTCTCGCGTTATTAAAATCTCCTTTAGAAATACTAAGAATTCCTTATTGTCAATGTATATCAGATCAACATTTAGATGTTATTACGCGTTATCTTGGGAATAGTCTTAAAAAATTGGATATAGAGTGGGCTGATTGTGTGACTAAAGAAGGATTTTTAAAAGCTCAAAATTATATAAATTTTATTTATATAAAAAATCACGAAGAATTATTTAGATAAGTATTTTTAGTAATTTAATAATAATGTTTGATAATGTTGGTCAGAAATTCAGATTTTAGGTTATCTTACCAAAATTTAATAAATTATGTTATTGACCAATCATCTTGTAACACATTGATCTTTGTTGTGCTACTTTAACATCATTAACATATATATATATATATATTTTTTTTTTTTGGTTTTTTTTTTTATATTTTTATTTTATTTTTAAAAATTCAAAAAAGTTATTCAGTTATGTATAATCTCGCTCAACGCGCAAATGCGATATTCGCATTTGCAATGACAGTACATTTTGGCCTTTTGTTGGCGATAGCGATAAGTTCACTTTATATAGCTTCTAATCCTATAGGAAAAGTTGATGTTAAGGAACTTAACATATGGTTATATAACTATGATAATAAAGAAACCGAGTTCGCATTCATAGAAATGAATATTGATGCCGGTAAAATTTACAAATAAAATTATTTCTATTATATATATGTGTAGTAATTATTAAATTTTTTTTAGCATCGATGTAAATTTTATATATTTATTTACTTTAAGACTTAACTTCACTCTTCAATTGGAACACCAAACAATTATTTGTTGCTGTCGTCGCCGAATATGAGACTAAATCACATGTAAGTTTGTTTTATTAATATTTTTTAAATTATTGTATTTTTTATTCTAATAAAAATATTATATTATAGGAATTGAATCAAGTAGTTTTATGGGATTCAATTATTCAGTCAAAAGAAGACGCCCATATTAAAGAAGATAAAGTGAGAAATGAAAATGAATTTGTAGACATCACACCTAAATTTGGGTAAATATAATTAATTAATTGAGAAAAAGTTTCTTTACTAAATTACATTTATTTATCTACTACTCTTTTTTTATAATTTAAAAGTGAAGTAAAAGCAAATTATTCAATATATTGGGATTTGATGCCTTACGTTGGATATTTAATGAGCGGAAAAATCGAACCAAATCAAAGCTTCTCATTTCCTGCTCCTAATTATTATAATTAATAATTTATTATTAAATTTACAATAATATTTTTTCTTAAATGTTTTTCTTTTAAAAAAAAAAGATATATAATAAATTTTAATAATAAAATTTAACTTTTTCCTTTATTTTCTGAGGAGGAAGATGTGAATGGATCATCCTTACGTGCTTCGACCAATAATTTGTCAATTTGCTTTTGTTTTACAGCAACCTAAAAAATATTATTTTGAAAGTTAAACAAAATTTTAAAATTAAATATCTTGATAATTATTTTAAATTTTTACCATAACACAATCCTTATATTTTTTGAACAATTCTTCGCATTCTGGTCGTATATCTCCTTTGAGAAATTTTTCAGAGTACCACTTATTAAAACATGCATCGTATTCTTTTTTGAGTTCGTTACACTGTGAGCCTATGCTTTGTGACATTATAATTATAATCAATATTGATGACCTAGAACAAAGATTTGTTCGAGGAAAAAAAAAAAAATTAAAAAAAATTTGATTTTTTTTTGAGCTACTATTATTTAAACTACTTATGTCATCATTGTCATTAACCCACGTGTGTGTAGCACATAACAAATTAATCCAGTTTTATACCACAAAAAAAGTATAATTATTATTTCTCACTCACTTTTTCAAATGGAATTCCCACCAAGTGAATCTATTTTACAGGATTATGAAAATTCTCTCGAAGCGATACAAAAAGAGAGAAGAAAAATCAAAAAAAGTATTCATAAAAAACTTTTACAGGTAACACAAAACCATTTATTAAATGAACATTTTTATTAATTATTAAAATTGTTGTATTTTGAATAGACATCCGAAGATGTTGGATCAAGTGTTCAAATTGATGATAATAAATCGTTAAAAGTTCTGGAAAATGATTATCATAAAGTATTTGAATATTTGAATATAGTTTAATCACGTTTAAATAAAGCTTGAGATTCAATCAATTTTTTATACTTAATATTAATAGATATATTTGAGCGAAGTTAACCTATCAGAAAAATTGATGTTTACAAAACAAATTTATCGTTTGTTATTCGAATTTAATGATACACAAAAAAGGTATATTGAAATATTGAAATAATAATATTTGATTAATTATATAATACTAATTTATTAAATACCAAAAGTGATGAATTTAAACCTTTTATTGAAAAGTATGAAGAGGAAGTATGGATCAATGATATGCAAAATTTGGATAAAGAATTTCTAAATACTCCCTGTAAGTAAATATATTAAACTTTTTATATAGTAATATTTTACTACCCCTAAAACTTTTTATTCATGATAGATACGATTCAAAAGATGTTAACCGTATATGAAAATGACGAAACCGACGAACCCGATAAAATTCTAACTAAATGGTATTGGCAGTTGAAGGCGTATCTACGTCATGTTCCCTCCGAAAAAAATTTAACTTCTTTAGGTAATTAACTAAACGTATGTATTTATATTCTTTGCATAATTTTAAAAAAAAATTTTTTTTTTTTTTTTAAAAAAAAAAAAAGAACTTTTACTTGTCGATGTCGTCGCGTATGATATAACTTATAATTGCAACAAACCTAACAAACCAATGTTAAAATTCAGTTCGCGTCATTCTGGTCATATCATACAAATTTGTGTTACTAGGTTTGTAATAATACGATGATTTTCCTCTTTTTTTCCTTTTTGTTAACAGTTATTCGGATAAATTATACTTTGTAGTGACTCCCGGTTTAAAATTAATTTCGATCTTCCTCTTATTAAAGCTATTGAAAAATTTCATGAACTTTCTCCTAGCATAGACTTTCCTAATTTTATAAAGTACGTAATTTGGAATGAAATGGATGAATTATTTGAATATGAATAAAAATGGAAGTATATTTTTATTATTGCATCATTTTTGATCAACTCTGAACAGTATGACAGAGTTACAGAATTTCTAAGAATTTCTACACTTTTCTAAAACATTCTTGATCATATCCATTAATATTTTTCAACCCTTTTAAATTTTCTTCAAACTTATCTCCCTTTAACTGTTAAAAGTATACAGTTAATAAACAACAAAAATAATTTTCTTACAAAAAGTTAATAAAAATAGTAAAAGTCTCGTGTACATTTATTTTTCACATACTCTGCTTTTTTCCTTTTATATAAACTTACTCCTTAAAAGAAAAAAGGATCGAAAAAATATTATTTCAATATGCTTTCTTCTACAACACCAAATTATCATGAGTTTTACAATACTTCCTGCTTTCAACATTTTAAGAAACGTCCATTTGATCAAAATGACTTTGATATAGAACAGTCCGCAGATAATATATACAAAAAATTTAAACCTACACCATTAGAATCTCTAAATTCTTTATCGTTTCAACAACCAACTTCTTGTACGACTCCTTCCCGTTCTTTTCGCTTGGGAACTAATCATTCATCTTCACCTGACTTATCTAAACTAAATCATGACGAACAAAATTTACTTTCAGATACTCCTCGAATTATCGATTTATCCACGGGAGAATATTTAGAATTAATTCCATCCGTGGATCAATTACAAAAAAATAGAAAACCAAAACGTCCTATAGATTCAGTTGAGAATCAAGACGAATTATCAAATTCCCTTGGAATTATGGAAGAAAATAAAGAAGACTTGATAAATGATAGTTTACTTCATTCACCTAAAAGAATTCGAACTTCTAAAGAACATATGTGTAATTTTATTGAAGAAGAGGAAGAAGAGGAAGAAGAACTTGATCATAGAGTTCATAAACCCTTCGATATAATAAGAGAACTTAAAACTGGATATAAAGCAAATACTGCGGATATTCCGAAAAAACCTCAACTCTCTCAATCCTTGTTATTACATGGTCATGGAAAATATCCAAATATAAAATTTACTGTTCCTTACCAAAAAGCAATTACTAAATATATGCGTGCACAATTACAGCATTTGAATAATAACATGGAATATGGAAATGAAGGGAAAGAATTAATTTTATATAATCCAAGAAACGATGGATTTAAGGATTATTTTGTTGATTCAAATGATAAGATATTTGAAACTTCTAAAGAAACAATGGATTTAGATTTGGATGGTCATAATGGTGATGATGAGGATCAAATGGACATAGACTAGATTGCTAAACCGAATTGTGTAAATTTTTTTTTTTTTACAATAAATCTAATTAAATTATGATTCAATACAAGAAGTTTTTAAAGCGATTGATTTTTTTTAAGAAACATTGCTATATCCATACTATTGTGGCGTAATAGCTTTGACGTAAATATTTTTCACGTAATGAGCAAAACTTAATCAGTTTAGTTCTTTCCAATAATAACCATAACATAAAAAAACTAGTTCAAATTTTTACTGATTGAAATTTGCGGTATATTACTAAAATATTATTTATCATAAAATTCCTTACCAAGTAATTGATTGTAATATATTTTAGTAAATTTAATTAACCGAAAATATTATATACTGTTAATCAATCATCAAATAAATTTATAGTAAATTTTGATTGTATTATAAAAATAAAATTTATTATATTAATTTATCACTCAGTTAGTAATTAAAATTTATACTATTAAATTTGTTTTTAGTTAATAAAAGGAATTTAATAATAATAATTTTCTAATTTAATATTACTATATATAAATATCCCTTAAACTGTAGGGACTAAAATTAATTTGAATTTTTAAAATATCTTAAGATCTAGTGATCATAGAAAGATGAAATTATATTTGTTAAATTCCTCTTATCAAGGCGCATTTAATGGTAATAAAATCATAACTATAAAATTAATAAATAAAAAGTTATATTAATTTATAAATTTTTAGATTTTATAAGTTATCCTATCACATAATATTTGTAGAAGCCTAGAAGGACAATTTTATTTCTATCAGATTCTTCTTATTAAGACGCATCAAATGGTGGTAATTTTATATTTCTAGGGTTAATGGATAAAAAGATATTTCAATTTAAAAAATTTAGATACTAATTGTTATAATTTGATGATCATTTACTTTTAAAAAATCATTAATCAAATTGACCTTTTTTTTGATTTTTACTTAGAAAATACTATGGAATTTATTACAAAAATATTAATTTATATAATAAAATATTTTAAGGTATTTAAAAGTATCTTTAATTAAAAAACAAAATTGCAAGCAAATTTGGCTGCAAAACAGTTTAAGGGATAATATAAAGTAATTTTTTTATTTAATATAAATAAAAAATGTTTAAAATCCTATTTTACATAATTATATTTATATATTGGATTTTACTTTATTAATCATATTTATATAATTAAAAAAATTTGTCATGTAACCATTACCTTTAAACTATTTACTACATTACAATGTATTATGTAATTATATTATATTATACCCATTTTAAAAAGGCAATTATACTTTTGTATGTAATATTATACAGTATGTGATTTTAATAGTATGAAAATGTGCTAATTGGTAATTTTCTGTATACACTATCCTTTTAAAGTGTGTGTAAATCTGCATAGTATATAGTTATTAAAAATATTTTTTATATATATAAATGCAAAATCTGCAAAAAATTTTTTGCTAAAATTAATATAAAAGTTCCATTCAAATTATATAACATTTTAATATATTAGCTATCTAAAGTTTGTATAATAATGCTAGCAAAAATTTAATTTTATTTTACATTATAATTTATTGATGATAGTATATATAATAATAATTTGATATACTAATATATTTTTTTAAAATAACAGTATTGGTATATAGAGTAATTACTCAATACAGTCAGTTCATGTTATAACGAATTTGTTGTTCAGGCTGATCTGACTTTTGTTATAAGAAAATTCATTATTATTATAGGAAAACCTAGTATAATAAGAGAAAATTTTGTAAATTGCGGTATATCATATTACAATATAACGTAAATGATTTCATATCACACAGTGAAAATTACATATACTGAAATATAACTTAAAATAGTTCCCTTTTCTATATATTTTCTTTTGTAAATTTTACATATATTCTATTGCCACAAGTAGTAATCATTTAAAATTTGAAATTTTTATAAAATAGTGTATCATTATAATATAAAATTCGTTATAATGTGAGTCATTTTGTATATACTGTTTATACACTTTACTTCGTTAAATGGTATACAGTCAAAGTTCTCTATAGCGAATTTTTATATAGCGAATAATTTGCTATAATGAAGAAAAGTTCAGGTACAGATCTTTATATTTATAATAAATGGCTTTTAGTATAGCAAATTTCTTACTATAACAAATTTTAATCTCTGGCCTGTGGGATTCGTTATAGAGAACTTTGACTGTACAGCATTTAATTAGTAAAATTCAGTATATAAGATTTTTTTTTATATGTTAAAATCTGTATCACAGTGAAAATTTGTTATACTAAATAATTCGTCATATCGAAATTCATTATAATATGAGCTGACTGTAATAATAGTATAATATGGAATTTTTATACTATTTTTTCATTTTTTTCCATACTGATATTTAGTATATAATGAGGGATCAACTACATTTCTCACCTGCCGATCACTTGGCCATTTTTCCAGCAGAAGTTGCTGAAGGAAAAACTTTAGTTTTTCACACTCGAGTGGTTGTAGAGTGCTTTTATTATTTGATTTAGACTTCTCAGTCATTCTTTCAAGACTCGAACGTGCCTTTAACTCAAAGTTTTGGTAAAGTTACAAAACTATGAAGCAGTTTTCACCAAAAGTAATCTTACTTCTGTGAAGCTTTTCTTCTACCGAGTTCCTGAAAGTTGTAACAGTTACGCATTGGGCGGCTGGACTTTGAACTCTGCACTAGTGTGAAGTTTTTCTGTTGGTTTTTTTACTTTTGGAAGTGTTGAGAAAGTTTTTCATTTGGAGTATTAGTTGATGTAGAGGTGGCCACTTGGAAAGTGGGCTTTTTCTTGTTAATAGTTCACAAGTCGAAAAGTGAAAAATCAGGCACCAATCGGTCACCAATCAGGCAGTTTGCTAACTTTTGATCCAATGATCAGAAAAGAATAAAATATAGCTCATTGGAATCGTCTCAATAAGACGAATCTAATGGTAGTAAAATCGCATTTCTAGGATTAATACTTGATGAGAAATTAAGTAAAATATAAAAACAAAAATGTATCATTTATATTTTATTTAATTTTTTATTAACTATTAATTCTAGAAATGCGATTTTACTACCATTAGATTCGTCTTGTTGAGACGATTCCAATGAGCTATGTTTCATTCTTTTCTGATCACTGGATTAAAAGTTAGCAAACTGCCTGATTGGTGACTGATTGATGCCTGATTTTTCACTTTTTGACCTGTGGTTGTTGTTTGAGGGGTTTGAAGTGGTAGACGGAGGCTTGGTATTTATTACCCTTTTTACTCAGTTTTTCCCTTAGGGGTTTTCTAAGATTATGACTTTCCTTTTTGTTTTTTAGTTTTTTCATTTTTTTGGAATTTCAGCGTTTTCACTCTTAGTTTTCTTTTGGGTGAGCTGGGGGTATTGGAATATTGCACCGGTCAAAAAAAGGAAAATCAGGTGAATTTCCTACACCCGATGATTCTATTGTTTAACATCGATTTTGAATTGAATTAAATCTGATAGGTCTATACGAATCTTAACCAATTTGTGGCTTAGATCGAATATCTTTAATGTGAAATTCGGTTAAGTCATATCAGGTGCATATCAGATGAACTTATAACAAATATAGTAAAATATCAGCACACCTGAATATTACCTGATAAATCTATATTATTCTTCCGATATGAGTACGTTTTATATAATTAATAATATATAATTTCTCGATAATTTTTTATACAATTATAAATAATTTAATAAATAAAATTCATTTAATAATAATATTTATTTTTTGTTATCTTTGATAAAATAATTCATTGATTTTTAATATTAAATATCGCATTATCTAATGGTTATTAAATTAATTGGAAATATTGCACGATTTTCAATCAATAAAATCAACTCATTTTCTGTGTACTTTACCGAGAATAATATTGAAAATAAAATTTATCCAGAATGATAGGAAGATGAAATTGCCCACGCTGGTGCATTACGAGGTGACTTGAAATCATTCTCTATATATAATTGATCGTCATACCACCTCTTCCTTCCAATTTTTATATTCTGAATACTTTCCTTTATCATATCAGCATATCGTAAAACGTTTTGAATCTATAGATAAAATTTAATAAATAGAATGTAAAATTATTTCTTAATATTTAACTTACTATACTAGATCTCCACCGCTTATCATATACATGAAGTATGTGATTTGTATTTTCGTTACGTAACGGGCGGGTGAATATTTCTATTTTTTTCCTCTTGTACTTTCTCAGTATTCGATTCAGAAATTTCGTCCAAATGATATCCCGAGTTATCAATAATTGCCTCTAAGCCTTCAACCCAGTCGTCCCATGGTACTAAAGGTTGCAAATCTACGAGTTTCTGGTCCTTAATATTTACCATGTGCTGAAATCCGCTTTGCCATTTCTCTTTTTTCTTTTTGTAATAAATTATTATAAAAATATTGTGTATTAGTATTTTAGCGTGTTTAAATTAATAAATAAATGTTATAAATCTATAATAAAATACAATTTACATCTTTTCTCCTACTGTTTATTCCCGTTCTTTGTTTATTCATCTTTGATTTTAATGGATCTAACGAGGTAATATATGCATCTCTTTGATGCCGATAAAGATTTTGCAGAACCTTTTTTAACTCTATATCAGTATATTTAAACTGTTATCCATTCTAAGAGGATAAAATTTAAATAAATAAATTAATAAAATTAATATAACAAATAATTTGAACTCAAAATTTGCTTATGAAAAAGCGACATAAAGATTCAAATCACCAATACGCAAAAACACTATATGAACGTCGCCAAATAGAATAAAAGACAAAAAGATACAATTTAAACATACCCAGAAAGCCTTTTTATATTCATGATTCATTAGCTCCAAATGTTTTCTGACGTTTGGATATCTGGCTGACGATGGATCGGGAGACAAGGAATATTGTGTCCTTGTTTGGTTTCTCCAACCATCAAACTGATGAGAAGCTTCTTTTTCAGAACGAAGTTCTTCTACTTCTCTTGTTAATTCTGACATTTCCATACGTAATTCTGCAATCTCTGATATAAAATTGTTAGTAGTTGAGATGTAGTTTTTCTATTAATTTTTTTTTTACCTTCACAATTTCTTTCTCTACTCTCATTTCTTCTATGATTTTTTCCATAACTTTCTTCATCAACATTCCTTTCTTTTCTTTCATTTCCCTTATATTCAACAAAGAATCTTCATGATGAGAAAATGGAGAACAGCTTTTATTCCTATTAGATAAAGAAACTTCTTGAAGAGAATATGGAGATAGACTTCTATCTCTATTTGACGCTCCACTTCTTCTTAGTGAAGTATAGTATGAAGTATCTTGCTGATGAGGGTTTGAAGTATCTATCCTCCGAAAGTGAGTATCTTCCTGACGAAAGTTTTGAGGTTGAATTTCGCTTCTTTTTAACGAAGTATTATTCTGAGACAATGAAGTGCCTTCTTCCTGGCGATGGTATGGAGTTCGACTTCTACCTTTTTCTTCTTGCAACGAAGTTACTCTTTATCTATAAATAGGACTTTTCAAGAATAACTGAATAAATATAAAACAAACCGCACCAAACCAAAAAAAAAATCTTTTACTTGTATTTGTTTTAAAAATTTGATAAGATGATCCTAAATAGGCTTATTTATATATATTGTATAAATAAACTTTCTAACTAAAAATCATGATCAGCTAAATAAACTTTCAAACTAACTTAAACTACAATAACTATAGTTAATAATTAAACGTGTAAAACTAACTAAGATAATAAAATAAACTACAATAAACTTTAATAATTAAATGTTGATTATTACAATAAGCATAGTAAATATTAAACAATTAAAATAAAACTAGGAAACGGGAACCATTGTAAGTCCAGAGCGAGGTATAATAAATAAAGATGTAGTGATATTCTACTAATTAGCAGCATAACGCCTTGGAATTCCTAGACAGAGAAACTCACGTGATTGAAAATTTACACGTTATTTCCATAGATCATTATAGTGCGTAGACATATATAGTCTTTCGCTTTGCTCTGGACAATAAAATTATCTTTGGTAAAGAATTCAAAATGCCATATGATAAAACTAGAAATAATCAAAGCGTTCAAAAAGCTCCCTATGTTCATCCTCCTCGAACCCGCAAACATATACCATATCACTGTCAGGAATGTAAAGGAAAATTAATAGATCCTAGAATGAAAAAAAAGCATGATTCTCACTTTACAAATAGAATTATACCTCAAAGAGGATATACTAATCTGACAGAAACACCTAATGATAATCATTCACCTATTAACTTGATATCTTTTCCAAAAATCGTTATGAATATTAATAACGAAGAAGATCACGAAGAAAATCTGCAAAAAGAGAGTTATCAGTTTTTAGTAAAAAGAGCATCCATACTAGGAGTTCAAAAAAATAATAGGATGTCTACATTTACAACTCTGGAAGTAATAAACGAATTACTTTCTGATGATGACAATGTGTCAGAAGATGAAAGAAGAGAACTTGAAGATAGTAGTGTCGTAGATGAAGATATAACAAGCGAGTCAGATGAAGATTGTCAAGTTGATTTTAGCACACTAGAGATAGAAATAGACTGAGGTAAATCTATACGTTATGAAAAAGAATCAGATGATCAATATTCATGGATTGTAATTTGGATTTTAAAATATCAAGAGAGATTCCAATTATCCAACGTAGCTACAGATTTCCTCTTCAAATTTTTTCATTATATTCTTGTGAATATAAATGAAAATTTGTATTCTAGATTTCCCACTTCTCTTTATATGGTGCGAAAAAAACTTGGATTTTGTGTTCATATAATAAAATATGCAGCCTGTAATAAATGTTGTAAATTATACAACATCGATGACATTTCAAGCAGTAAACCTGCTGTTGCGCCTAAATTTACAGAATGTACATACCAAGATTTTTCTGACCACCCAATAAGCAATAAAAGAAATCCTTGTGGCGCAACTTTATATAAGAACGTCTATACAAAAGATGGTGTAATCAAAAAACCGGCTCTGATATTTCCTACAATTAGCTTGAAGCATCAATTAAGCATTCTATTCAAACGAAAAGGGTTTGAAGAATCTTGCAGGAAATGAGTTAATCGTCCATCAGATCCAGAAATACTTGCTGATGTATACGATGGTAAAGTGTGGAAATCTTTTAACGATGAAAATGGGTCACAATTTTTTCGGCCAAATTCATCAGACACTCACCTTGGAATAATGCTTAGTATGGATTAGTTCCAACCCTTTGAAAATTCGCAGTTCAGTACGGGAGCAATCTATGCCATTATTTGCAATCTATCTCAAGACGAAAGATTCAAACTGGCAAATATATTGACTTTAGCAATGATACCAGGTCCAACCAAACCAAAACTGCATCAACTAAACCATTATCTAGCTCCTTTAGTTGATCAATTAATTGAATTATGGCAGGGTATAGAATTGGAAACATTTGAATATCCTAACGGAAAAATTGTTAAAGGAGCTGTCATATGTTGTTCATGTAATATACCTGCAGCAAGAAAACTTTGTGGATATATTTCTGCAAGGGTTGCATGTCACCGGTGTCTTAAACAGGCAAATTATGATGGAAACCAGCCGAATTTTGGAGGATTTTCTGATATGGATAGCTGGTTTATAGAAAGAGATGTTAAAGAAATTTAAAAAAATGCTATTGCCTGGAAAAATTGCAAAACAGAAGAGCAACGTTGGGCCCATGTATCAGAAACCTTGGTACGGTGGTCTGAAATGCATCGTTTACTTTACTTTAATCCTGTACGTTTCCTTGTCATAGATCTAATGCATTACCTTTTCCTCGGCATTGCTAGATGGATCGTGACAAGATTATGGATTAAAGAAGGAAAGTTGTTGTCATAAGACCTCTTATTGATGCAAAACAGCATCAGGAAATTATATAGTGCGAAAAGTTGCGCAAGTTTACACATCATAATATTTCGTAAGCTTCCAGACCCGCCGCAAGTTTGCGTAAGCGTAATATTTTGTAACTTTTTAAAATATTTCGAAATATTATGATATGCAAAGCTTCGTAATTTTACGATTTGTAATATTCCGTAATTTTGCGGTTCGCAATATTTCGTAATTTTACATAATATTTCGTAAGTTTTCAGACCCGCCGCAAGTTTGCGTAAGCGTAATATTTTGTAACTTTTTAAAATATTTCGAAATATTACTGTATGCAAGGCTTCGTAATTTTACGATTCGTAATATTCCGTAATTTTACTGCGTAATACTTCGCAACTTTTTAAAATATTTCGAAATTCTATGATGCGTAATGTTCCATAATTTGACGATTCGTAATATTCTGTGATTTTACACAACTTAATATTTCGTAATATTTCAAAATATTTCGATAAATAATACTTCATTTTCTGTACTATAAGTTTATATAATGTATGTTTTATTAGATATAATCATAAAAAATTACAAGTATTTATTAATATATACAGAATACATAAAAGTAAAAAAAAGAAAGAGTAGAGTAACAATATTATTAGACGTAAAAAGAAGAGAAACAGCTATAGTAACGTTAGTATTAGATATAAAGATAAAAGAAATATTGTTATTATTGTTAGTATTAAGGTAAAAAGAGTTAAAGAAACAGTAAAAGGAGTAAAAGAAACATGGATATTATCGTTAGTATTAAAGTACAAGTAAAAAGAAATAAAGGAAACGTAGATAGTATTGTTAGTATTACGACATAAAGTAACAAAGAGGTAAAAAAAAAACGCGTTAATATTAAAATAATTAGTATTAATAAACAAATATTTCTATACCTGCAAAGCAATAAATTATGAAATATATGTAAATATATTGTATATAATTAAAGAAATAATAGAAAGAAAAGACAAAAAAATTAAAAATATTGAACAAAAGAATAAAGAAATAAGAAACAAAAATAAATAAGACAAAAACGCGTGCATGATTAAATGATTAAATGATTAAATCACATGCAAGGATCAGCCTAATTTTGATTGGCCAGAAAAACAATTACTAAATATCATCCCCTCGTGATAAATTAAAAATTATCAACACAAATTCAACACAAATTTAACAAATTTAACGAAATTTGGCCAAAATTAACAAATTTTTACCAGAATTATCAACACAAATTGAACACAAATTGAACACAAATTTCAGCCACGATTTATTTATGTCACACCCGTGTTGTTAAGAATTAATAACCATTTTATTTATTAAAACTATATTAATTATGGTAAAAAAAATGCTATTACGTGTGATATATATAAAAAATAATATTTATTTCCTATGCAACCCATAATTCTCTAATAAACTATTTACATACCGACCTTCCTCCTCCGTGTTATAAGAGTCAATAGAAAGTATATCATCGTCAGCTATGCCATCATTGGCCGCACCATCGTTAGCCGTACCATCGTTGGCCGCATCATCGTTAGCCGCACCATCGTTAGGCCTACCATCGTTAGTCACACCATCATCAGCCGCACCTGCTCTATCGTCAGCTGCTCTATCACCACCATCATCTACATCATTACCATCATGAGAATCATCGTCCGAATGTGTAAATTTATCCCTATTTTCCAACTTTTGCTAAAAATCAATAAATAAAAAAATAAACTGTAATTCAAATAATTCACATTTTGCAAATTGTAAATTAAAAACTTACTAAGTTGTTGATTATCTTAGACTTCATTATACTTTCGCTCATTTAAATGTTTTGATTATTAGGATTTAAGTACGTTTCACATATGCTAATCGCATACGCTATTTGTGTTTTTGAGGGATTTTTATTTTCTTTTCGCAACTTATCAATTATCAGCGACATATATGTCGTAGGTTGCCCATCTTTAACCTTTTTAAATAGGTTGTTGTAACATCTTT